CAGGTGCAACTTAACGTTCTCTGCAACCTTGGCCGTATTGTGAACGACTTTACTACAAAGCGAAGATTAGATTTTGGTGCGCACAGAAAGCAGAAAGCTACGTAGGCGAAAGCGCCAGTTGCTCGACATACCTGCGTGGCCCGTGCGACGAAATAACTTCACAGGATTGGCAAAGTTTCAGTCTTAGCAAATTATGCAAAAAATCTAGAAAGATTTAAGCTTAAATCTCGTTTAATGTTTAAAGCGACATATCAATGACTGCAACCATCGTGCTGTAGAGAAACCTCGCAAACTTTAAAACACGTTCTCAAGTGATACCTGCGAAAGTATTCAGTATAATTTCCGGTAAGATTTTCGCGGACAATCTGATTGATTTCTCAAATCTCCGTCGCACGGTCCAAACAAACATAGTGAGCAACTGAGCTACTAGTATATGTCCGTGTTAAAACACACGAAAGGACTCTAAAGCACACTTCACTCTGATTGGACAGAAAAACACAAAGATTTTCTGGCTCCAATCAGATGGCAGAACGACTGCGACCGTTTGGAACTAGTCTTGTAAGACAATGTCCCCAGGGGCTCTTCATGCCCTAACTTGAAATCGACCGACAGCCCCTGGGTCTCCGAGGATGGTCAATACATGACAAACCTAACCAAACAGTGTACTGCGATCTAATTTCTACAGTAATTTAGAGTTCTATTTTTACTCGACTTCTCTGTAACTAAAATTTGATTAAAATGTATACTGTGTGGATAGAAAAAATAGTAAACCTTTTTTTTTCTTATTTCCGTTCAAAGAGCTAGGACGATTCCAAATTCTCGATAATCTCATGCATACTTGGTCTTTCCTTTGGGTCCGTCTGAACAGAGCGCCGTATCAAACCTCGTAACACGTGATTCGCTACCATGGCCACTTGCTCTTTGCGATTCTGAGGATCTGGTAGTTCCCGTATACACATTTCACAAAGAAGAACTCCAAAACTGTACACATCGATCTGAAAAGGATACAAAGAGCAAAAAATTAAGAAGAATATCTTAGATTTATTGCAGAAAAAACAGTCGTTCTATTTTCCTTTACTTTGCAAGGTGGGCACCGTTAAGGTCATGAAACAAATAGTTTTATTAGTAAACTATTACAGTCGTAAAATGGCTAAGAAAACCGGTATATTTCTACGTTGGAGCAATTCATAACAGAGATCTTGCTCAAAGTAAGTCTAATTCAGTACTTTGATTAATGAACACACATCAACTAACCTTGATTGTCTGATTTGAAGTGAGTGCTTCAGGCGCACTGTATATCATGGCACCAGGGGCAACTGTCATGGTCTGTTGCATAAAGTTAGCAGTTCCGTAATCTGAAACCTTACCTCGCCATTGCTCGCCTTGTCGCCATAGCAACACATTCGCACTGCTGATGTCACGGTGGATAATGGGAGGTTTGCTCAAATGTAAGTAATTAAGTGCTTGCGCTATGTCGACGGATAAAATAGAGATATCTGAAGCAGGGAGAGGTTGCTGCTCTAGTAGTGTTCGTAAACTAGATTCCAGGAGCTCTGTTACAAACAACGGACTTCCTTCATCATTTGTTGCCCCTATAAATTGTAGCAAGCAAGGATGGCGGCATCTTGAGGCAATGTTCATTTCACGCTCAAACAGACGTCGGTTATGTGGAGAAAGTATCAATTCATGGATCTGCTTCACAGCAACTTTGCAGCCTCTAAATTTTCCCAGC